TCTCGGACACAAAAACTACTGAAAGGATGCTAATTTATCAAAGCTATAATTATAGGACTGTGACGAACAAAAGTTACCCATATATTTCATTTGTATTTGAAATTTCTATCGTGCCTCGAATAAAATTTACCCTTTAAAAAGTGTAAGAAAAAAGCTACACAAATACATGTGCATGAAATATTAGGATTTTCTTGCGAATTCAGATGACTTAATATGGGGCAGTCTTCTCCTACATGTGTTTTCAAAACTTCGTATTACGCAATGACTAGCTGGTCAGTTCATATTAAGATATTAAGAGAAATAGAGGGTGAAAGATATTTTGTTATTCTGTTCTTTATATATATATATATATATATATATATATATATATATATATAAACAAAAAGGTAAAACTACTGTACAATTCTCGAAGTCTTTCAATCTTATAGAAATAAGTGAATTACTGGAAATTTGGCAAAAATGGGGATCCAAAGATAAAGTCTATTTCATTATCTTTCAGCATATGATTTATGTCGCACAATCTACAGTACAATGCCAAAAGTGATTCATCATTTCCCTTTTTACCATATATTTTAAGAAAAGTTAGTTTTTGTTTAAAAAAAAAATATTGTGAGTTCAATTTTATTCCAGATTAGCAAAATTTGATAATTAACCACTGAGTATAATATTTTAACTGATAATATCACAATTTCTAACTACAAAACGCCACGATTTCATGACACTTTTTGTTATAAAATTTAACTTTTTCAGTTGATACTTGATATCGCTGAAATGTACATGATAATTTTTTTTTTATAAAATTATGCGAAGAAAGTACAATGAATTCGGAATTTACTGATACTCGCTCATATCTGCAACTCACAATAGGTTTATTAATTGTTCCTCAAATATCTCAAACAAATTTCTGCTAAACAAAAATGCACATCTAACTTGGAAGAGCGCCTAAATGGAACCACACATGCATGTATTGAAAGCTATCTTAAAATAAATATGTTCGGTCACCACATGAATATATTAGAACCTTTGATTCCCTTAATTTAATATTTAGGGTAAAATGAATTGTTTCAAGGATTAATTAATGAAAAAAAAAAGATTGAAATGATCAAGCTTTCGTTTCTGGCATTTCAGCGCATTTTTTTTCTTCAAACATTATTTTATAATAAAACTATATAAATGTAGAAAATTTCATGCAATAAATTGCTTAACAACTTCAATTAATACATGTCCTCATCATACTGATGCAAATATAAAAATGTTAATTTTACCAGAACTCAACGAGTACACCCAAATATCTCATTTGGGAACACAATGAATATAGTATTTCTCAGAATCAAAGTCACTGTCATCTAGGGTTGACATTACAGTCTAATGGGGGGTGGTCCGAACATATTACAACAATTTATGATAAAGTTTGCTTACGACTAAATATATTGCGTACACTTAAATATAAATTAAAAAGGGACTTGTTCATCAAAACATATCTAATTATTTGTTGGACCAGTTGTAGAATATGGGGATGTGGTATGGGATAATTGCACTGAAGAACAATCCAAATTACTGGAAAGTGTTCAGGTGGAAGCTGCAAGAATAATTACAGGCATTACGTGCAATACATCCAAAACTAACCTATATTATGAGCTGGGATGGGAAACCTTAAGTTCAAGAAGGGAAAAGCATAAGCTTACACTGATGTATAATTCTTAATAATCTTACTCCTGAATACATGTATAATATGCTTGAAGGATGTATGCCAATTCAGCAGAATTATAATTTACGCAACCCAAAATCATATCGTATCCCTATCACTCGAACAGTGTCTTAATATAATAGTTTTGTACCATCCACAATATCTTTATGGAATAATTTACCTGATGATTGTAGAACTTCCCCTACATTGCAAAATTTCAAAAAAAGATTAACCTACACCAATCCCATCCAGAAAAATAAAGTCAAGTTGTACAATTATGGGAATAGAATTGAAAATATGCTACATTGTCAGTTAAGAAATAAATGTAGTAATCTTAATGCTGATCTTTTTAAAGACCACCTTAATGATTCACCAAAATGTACAAATTGTGGATACCAAATTACATTTTTTCATGTATTGCCAAAAAATATGTTCTTCAAAGACAGATGCTGTTTATATACATGAATGAGAATGGCATACCAATTAATATAGATAATATACTATATGGTGCTGAATCCTTTTGTTTAGAAGACAACTTTTCATTTTTCAATCATGTACTTACCTTTATAAGAAACTCAAAGAGGTTTTCACCGAAATCTTAGTTTATCATGATATGCTAGGAAGAATATTATCTCATTTTATGTATGTTAAGGAATTTTTTCCACTCTGAGTCAACTTTATTATGTGTGTGTGTTGTTTTTTTTAATTATTATTTTTTTTATTTAATATGGTCTTTCTCTCTCTCTATTTAACCTTTCTCTCTCACCCTCTGTGAATTCACTTTATACATGTACCAATTAATGGTTTATTTCACATACTGCTTTTCAATATGTTAATCCTCTTTATTTTATTCTCTCTTTCTCTGGATTCACCTTATATATGTACCAATTAATGATCTATCTATTTTACATACTGTTTTTCAATGTTAAATGTATCAATAACTGTTATGTGTACCTTGACCTATGGAGAGAACGATTATAGGCATTATGCATGCTGTTCAATCCGTTTCATTTGTAATGAATAAATATTTTTTAAACTAATATAAAATAACTCATCAAATACATGTATTGTGAAAAATTGCAACAAACTTTCATAACTTCCATATCATTTTACAGATTCTCATATCATTTTATTTGATTTAATTCATTCATGCCAGTGGCCAGTAATTAAAGCGTTTGCCCTAGAGTCAAGGAGTAAGGAGTCGATCCTCAGCTCGCGGGTTCGAATCCCACTGCGGGACGTGGAGACCGGTCCTTCGGATGGGACCGTAAAACTGAGGTCCCGTGTCACAGTAAGTGCTTGCCAGAAAAAAAGATCCCTCACTGCACAATGACCCCGAGTGCTGAGTATAGATATAAAATTTGTAGCCCACCAATAGCAATGGTGGCGTCTCATTATGAGTGAAAAATTCCCAAGAGGGACGTTTTAATTAAAACAAACAATTCATGCCACCGTCTATCAGTACTCACAGTACTTTGATTAGTGACTGGGTTTTCTGGGAGATTCCCAATTTAGCCTAATTGACGCTGAAATTCCCAATTCTGAGGGCCCCAGCCCAAAGCACTGAAAAAAAAAACACTGGCCTAGAAAATCCCAAATCCTGTGTATTTCAAAGTGATATTAACAACGAATACTCAACAACCTTTAAGAAACATTATCTGAAAATTTCAAATCCATTGGTGGCGTATTAGCGAAGAAAATTAAAAAATCTCGAATACCCCGGTTTTTAATTTGCCCCGGCCCGGGTTTGCCTCATTTTACCAACACTGGATTTAGTCCAAATATTTTCCCGAAAGCCCCCTCCCTAACCAAAACACTCCAAATTTGACGTTTCTTGATGGTACCTAATCCCATCTCTGATGATATAGGGGTACGTGTTTGCTCTGCTCCAAAATTTGTATTGTTTAATCAGGGACCTATATACTACATAGTATATAGGTCCCTGGTTTAATGGACTTCTGAGCTTGCTTACTGTGGTCTCCATTTCTTTCGCCAAGAGTCAGTCAAAGAACGAGTTGACAAATATGAATAAAGAAGCCGGTAATTAACTCGTTCTTAAAATAGTTTCTTCATTAATTGTCTGTAGAACTCAATGATGTTGTTTTTACAACGGTAGAGAGAGCGCACGATGTTACTCGCGTCGATGTTCTTATAGGACGTTCTTAAAACCCTTTAGAGTTTTTGCATGCACGACCGAGTCTAGTAGGTGGTTCCAGTGTATACACGTGTCGACAAAAAAATGAGTATTGGTACTGTGGTGTTCTGCTGCTGGCTATGACTAGACCTTTGCTGTTGTTACACTCACACACGTGTTTGTTGTATGGTGGTCCCTGAAATGTCTCGGTTTAATTTGGCGTTTAGGTTTGGCACTTATTATGAATGAATGAGGAGACGGTGACGGCACCAACCTCTCAACCACTTTGTACATGAGTATAAATCTGAAGAGGATTTATGAAGAGGCCACTGTCTTTATAACTGGCCTGAAGACCCTTGAACATCATTGTCCTTCCTGATATACTAGTACTTTATTTTGCTAAATAAAATATAGTCATGTTGAATATTTTATTTGTGAAAATAAAGTGTATCAGGAAGGACATCATGTCTAACCCTGCTCCTTCTCCAGCTGTGAGGACGGAGATGAGCACCTAGCCATGCTCATTTCCGACATGAGTGGCACGAGTAACAGTCTCTGCAGCTCTACCCTGCAGTTTTTTTACTACCTTCTTGGTTGAATCGACTTTCAATATCCTGCCTTATACCGAAGAGTTGGTTGCCTTTACTTCCTCTGAGCGGACGATTACATCTTGGCAGAAGATGGAAAGAAACCAATGGCCAGATGGAATCTTTTGGGGTGTCAGGGTTGGCGGAAACTTGATATTAGACAGGAATTCCCTCTTTTGCGCATTCGTGAAGGTCTGACAGTCACTGAGGTAGCGAGCTGTCCTCAACATTTCTTCCCCATGAAGCTCAGCGAGGTTCTGACTCAGCCTGGTATTCCCAAGTCCTCGCTGACACATCATCTTAACTACTCTAGCTCGCATGCCATAAGACGAGTGAAGATACACGGGGACTGTCTGCAGCCGGTGACACACGTCCAGTCTGTTGAGTAGTTCCTCATTCCAGCTGCTCAGCGGTCCAACCACTGTAGCGAGGTTTGGCAGAAACCTATGGTAATAGTTCAACAGGCCTAAGAATGAGCGCAGTTGAGACACATTTTCAGATTTGGGGGCATTCTTGACAGCATTTATTTTGTCATTGGATTTTATGTAAACCATCTTTGTCTATTACATGCCCACAGTAACTAATTTTGTCTTTAAAAGAATTCACACTTTTCCAGATTTGCCCTTAACCTTTGTTGTTCGAGTCTCTCAATACTGAGATTCTGTAAGTGTTCTTCATCCGTCGAGCCTGTAATAATCATGTCATCCAAAATGCATTTAGTTTTTGGAATGTTTGCAAGGGCTTGGTTCATGGCTCTTTGCCAGATAGCAAGAGCGGAAGCGATTCCGAGGGAAAGTCGATTAAAGCGGATAAGTCCCTTGTGAGTGTTAATGGTAAGTAAGTTCTTTGACGCGTCATCAATTTCCATCTGCAAGTATGCCTGCGTCAAGTCTATTTTGCTAAATTTCTGTCCTCCGCTAAGGGACGCAAAGATATCTGCTATCTTTGGTAATGGATATTGTTCAATTTTCATAGCAGGATTAACTGTCACCTTGTAATCACCACAAATTCTCAGTTTGCCGTTTGCATTGGTAAGGGTACTCTTGAGGTTGCCCAGTCACTAAATTCAATAGGTGAAATGACACCTTTTTGCTGTTATCGATCAAGATTCTCTTCTTCCCGAGGTCTGAGTGAATATGCAACTTCTCTGGCCTCGTAATATTTTGGTCGAACACCATTTTGCATGGTAAGTTTTCCTTTGATGTCTATCAGTTTCCCGATTCCTGTTCAAACACTTTCTTATGTTTCTCCAGAATTTCGTGGATATTCATTTTCCCAAAAATTATCTGTTTGTCATTAGATAGTCTGATTGATTGGATTTCCTTCCAATCAAGTCGTAGAAATTTCATCCAGTTTCGTCCCATGAGAGTTGGTCCCTCCTGTTTCACCACGAGCAGGTACAAATTTTAACCGAGTATCTGTATCCTCCAGGTGTATGTCTTAAGAAATTTGTCCAAATGTCTGGGAAATAATCGAGATAGCTGACCCAGTGTCAACTTCCATAGGAATGTCTGATCCAGAAATTCTCGGTGTCACAATGATTGGGTCCATTGAGATTTTGTTCACATCCCTGCAGTAGTATGAGAAATGCAGCAGATTAACCACCATTGTTCTCATAGTCAATTCCGTTTTCATCTGTATCAAAGCAATAAATTTTCCCACATTTTCGCGTTCTTTCTTCAGACACACCCTCTCGAAATGCCCCACTTTGTCACAATATCTACATTTTGTTTTTGTGTGCTTACATGAGTTTGCTCTATGGTCACCCCCTCACATTCTCTTGATGAAATGTCCAGGAATCCGAAAATATGACGTCATCAAAATACGCAACGACATGTTTGTTTTTTGTCTATTGATTAACGTCCCTCTCGAGAATTTTTCACTCATATGGAGACGCCACCACTTGTCGGTGGAGGACCATTGAGCAGTGAGGGATCTTTTTTCGTGCAAGCACCTACTGTGACACGGGACCTCGGTTTATACGTTCTCATCCAAAGGACCGGTCTCCACGTCCCACAGTGGGATTCGAACCCGCGACGCAAGGATTAATTCCTTACTCCGCGATTCTAGAGCAGACCTTCTATTACTGCTGCACGCGGGCGAACAATTAACTCTGAAATCATTTTGACACGAATCTACTAGACTCTATCCACTTCAACTGATAGACATCATTCAAACTTTAAATTGATTGACTGATTGTATGTTGTTTAACGTCCCATTCGAGAATTTTTCATTCATATATAGACGTCACCATATACCGGTGAAGGGTATCAAATTTTGACCTTTACGCGATACTCAGGGCCATTGAGCAGTGGGGATCTTTATCGTGCCAACGCCTGCCGTGATACGGGGCCTCGGTTTTTAAGGTCTCATCTGAAGGACCCGCAACTTTCACTTCAAAGTGTCGAGCGCATGGCGAAGGAACAATTGCTACCCATTTTTTATCGACTTAGGACTGTCGCGGCCGAGATTCGAACTCACGACCTCCCGATCACGGAGCGAGCGCTCTACCGACTGAGGTACTGTGAACGATAATTTTAAATTGAAACTTAATATATACGGTATACTAGTATATAATTTACATTTTATTTTCTCCTTCATTTTAAGTCTTTCCATTTACCGATTCATCAGTCTCTTAGTCCTGGCCATTTGGTTGGCCGACCTCATTTGCATACAAGATCGTATAATGCAAGAGCTTCCTGAGATCATCTTCATGTCTCCCTCTGCTGATTCACCCGTTCATCTCCTTTCGCCCCATGTTCTTTATAGGGGTGTTCAGTTTGATCCTCGCCAGCGTTCCAGCTGGTCCCTCAGCTGCCCTGACACGTTTAATTAGAGGGAAATGCCTTTCTCCCTTAATGAGTGTCTCTTTTGCAATACCGCAAGTGGCGGCATCTACACGAAAAAAACGGAATACTTTTACAAAGTAATCTGCACGTTAAAAACAATACATTCTCAACACATTTCAACGTATGCATTAATAACATAGATATATTCATCTCATCTTTTCGCAAGTTTTTCGGTCGATTCATTAACCTTGTAAGCACATACAACCTATCATTGAGTCAAATGCTGACTGACGTTTCTCATACAAATTGTTATGCCGTTATTTATACACTGAACCGGCAACGGATTTTTCCGGTTTTTGTTTCCCGATCATGACAAGGAGCACACGGCGGGTGTGACCGGTCAGCAGGGGATGCTCACTCCTCCATTGCACCTGATCCCACTTCTAAATTTTTGAGGTCTGAGTTTGCTCTGCTACACATTTGTATCATATCATTGGACTTTCAAGATTGAAATCTGTTCATTATCTTCATGAGTTCATTTTTCTTTTCATGTAGCCATTCCCTTTTCATCCGTCTTTTATCTTTATCTCTGTTTACTTCATATCAAATGGCTAATAAATTGCATTTTTTTTTTATTCCTCGTACTTTCACTTCAGCATGGATTTGATTATTAAATTAACATTTTTTTAAAGATAAATAAATTATATACTTCCATCCCAAAAATAATTTAATTATTATTTCAGCGAAAATGCTGATTGAACTTCTCTCCCTCTCTCTAATTTCATTTCGTACTTTCACGTAAATGTAGATTTTTAATTAGCAAATCACCTCAACATGACCCCTCCCCTGCCACAAGTCTGTATCTTTTTAATTCCACAGTAAAAAAAATTGTCATTATTTAAAACAAATTTAAACGTACAAAATACTCTGGATTCTTGAACATGTTTAATTCCGATTTTAAGATTGGGGGGAAAATATTCTTCTGTGTTCATGTTTTAGTCAACACTTGGTCCAAGTCAGAAGAGCGCTTTAAAAATTGAACAGGAGAGATCACCTGTCGGCTATCATATCCTGATGAAAGTAAGAAGTTTATTCTAACAAGGATTAATTCATGCAAGTTTTAAATCGGTCAGTTTGATTTGGCATGTGTGAACTACTCCACTAATATCACCAACCTGTGCATTCTGCTGTCATTACAGACTGAAGCAACTTTTGTTAACATGTAACTGATGGAATAATTGGCATGGTATAAATCCTGGCAAGTGGAATGGGTGCCCTATATAATCTTATCTTTCGATTTTCAGGGCAAATTTAATTGTAAGCAAGTAACAAGATACGCTTTTTATAATCAGTTGTATAAATTGTTTGATGTTTAAGATAATTCTTCACTTTTTTGAGGGACTCAGGTGACTTATTGCTATCTGTTTTCGTCCGTCGTCGTCCGTCGGTCGTAAACTTTTGAACATTTTCAGCTTCTTCTCTTGAACCACTGAACCAATTTCAACCAATTTTGGCAGATAGCATCAATGGGAGAAAGGGTACAAAAAATGTGAATTTCATGGTCCCTGCCCCCCCTGGGGCCTGAGGGGTGGGGCTAAAACCATCAAAATTAGTGCTATCTTCCAAAAATCTTCATCTTTACTCCTGGACATCAAGCAGTCAAACTGTTGGCACGATTGTAATAAGCATTCAGCCCTCTACCAAAATTTTGAAATTCATAGCCCCAGGGTCAGGGGTTCTGGTATTAGGGCGGGGCTATATAGATCATATAGTGAAAGTGCATTATTTCTTTGAAAATCTTCTTCTCTACTCCTGGGTATTATTGAAACGAATTGAATACATAGTTATGATAAGCAAGAGTGACTCTACCAAATTGTGAAATTCATGGCCCCACGGTTAGGGGTTCTGGTACTAGCTAGGGCGGGGCTATATAGATCATATAGTGAAAGTGCATCATTTCTTTGAAAATCTTCCTCTGCTCCTGGGTATTATTTAAACAAACTAAGTAAATTGTTATGATAAGCAAAGATGTCTCTTCCAAAAGTTTGAATTTCATGGCCCTAGGGTCAAGGTTTCTGGTGATTATATAGTGAAAAAGCAAACTTTCTTTGAAAATATTCTTTTCTGCTTGTGGTTAAAAAGCAAAGAAGCTAAGTGTATAGTTATGATGAGCAAGAGTGCTTCTTCCAGAGTAGTGAATTGCATGACCCCTGGGTCATGTAAGGGTGGGGCTCTTAACAATATAGTGAAAATGCATTAATTCTATTAAATAATGCTGTCTGCTGCTTAGTGTTAAGCAGATAAACAAAGTGATTACTTATGATCAGCAAACTTCTGGTCCCAGGGTCAGAGGCTCTGTAGTTTCTCGGTGGGGAGGGGGGCTCTATTGATAATGTAGTGAATCTGTAGTAAAAATGCATTATTTCTTTAAAAATCTTCTCTGCTCATGGGCATATGAGGCAGAGTAAAGTTTTAATAAGGAAGGGTATTTTTTTACCAGATTTTTGAACATCTGGACCATTTGGTCAAGTGTTCTGGTTCTGGCCAGGGCTCTATTAATTTGTATTCTACTGAGAGGAGTTATTCCCCTTTGCCTTTTACTTTTGATAATTAATCACTGTAAATAATGTACTTGAAAGGTTAACAGAATAAGAGAGTTATGCAAGAATTTTTATTGTATAATGCAAAAAATACTTTCATAGTTTTAATGATCAGGTAATGATCAGATAGACTTGTAAGTAATAGATAAATAAAAATGAGACAAAAATAACTTGTCTTATGAAATGTTCATTAAAGACCAAGAGAGGCCGATGTAAGAGATTTCAATAAGGAATTAAAACAGTACAGAAGCACTGATAGTTTGTTAATATACTGTATGGTGATAGTGATAAATGGGGAACAGATTAGAACCTAATTTATGAACTGTTAATGAATACTAGACTAATTATTTTGTTGATTCTGATCACCCTACTTTTCTTGCTTTGGGCGACAAAGCTTCACCTTTCAGTTCATTTTATACTCTGGACCCTCGAAATTGTTGTATTACACTCAGGTGACCGTTAAGGCCCTTGGGCCTCTTGTTTAAATAAGTATTTGTGGACAATGAACATAAAAATTATATTTCTATGATTTTTTTGGTAATGTTATATCCCCCCCCCCCAAAAAAAAAAATAAAAAAATCGCG